TCTTGTGATAAAACTAGGTTTAATTATGAATGAGGATATTTTCTTATAGGTTTTGATGACAGGATTTAATCTGTAAAAAAGGAGGTGGTTAAAAATCAACACTTTATGAATGCTTTTCTGAGAGAGGATGGTACTCATGTTTTCTTTTAGAAAGACTTCAGCTAGTACATGAAATGTGACAAGATCATGACTTTTGACAACTATAAGGATGAAAATTTGAGCTGCAGTCGACTAAACTAAAAATAGAATATTTAGCTCCTAGTGGCGCTAAGATGGTTTTAAATAGAGATGTACCATTTTCAAAGAATTGTGAGTTGCTTGTAAACATTTTCATAAATTTTCCATTAGTAGATTTCACACAGCTATATTTGTCTGTCAGTAAAACTGACACCACTTGCAGAATGGATTTTGCTTCCTTGTGTGCCCCCAAATCTTTCTCAAGAGATTGTCAGAAGCAAATGGGAGTGGGAAAGAGAGCAAAGGAAGGTCAGGCTTTATAAGGGAAAGCCCACTCAAGCCATATCAGATGCTAACCTGTGTTTTATGGAAACCTTCAGAAATCTAGTGCCCTCCAAATGTGCTCAACTATATTACTGGGGATGGTGGCAGTGCATTTGGAAGATATCACATTAGGAAGCTTGATTTAATTGTCTGGGTAAAATGTTCACATTTAAAGTGGTCTTTAACATATTCAGTTGTTGTAGATAGTGCCAAAAGGTCTGATTCTTTGGGCACAGTTAGTGTTATTTATGTTAAGATAGAATTGCTTAATTTAGGCTTTAGCAAATGCAAGTCTTCTCCTAAGGCAATGTTTTCCATTCTCAGATCTCTCAGTTCCCAGAATTGCTGAATAATAGCCATTATGGCTGGAATTTCTGGGAGTGGAAATTGACCAACATTTGGGGGCCCAAGCTTGGGGACCAATGCTATAAGTGAGGACTAGAATTACTTAATTAGACTTATGCAGCATTCCAGTTAATTTCTGCAATAATGAAAGGACTGTTGAAATTTGCAACGTTAGAGAGCTCTTACTACAGTTGTGCTGAATATTTCTGCATTTGCAACTTTTGGGTGGATGTTACTTCCGTTCTAATAGGTAAGGAATTTCCTCTGAAGATATGTAGGCTATATGCACATTTACCTTTCTCCTGGGTGCTGCCTTTTCTTCTTTTTTAATCAGTCACAGGGTGATCAGTCTAACCAGAGATCACTCAATGAATGGGACAATGCCACAATACTGTTACAAATCAAACTTAGCTACAACTGAAAGTAATGAGAAGTGAACACAATTTAATTTAATAAGATTTTTCTTTAAAATGAAAAAGAGATTATCTTCTGGTACAACAAATTGAAAAGTTTTGCTTTGAATTTAAATGAGAAACAGAGTACAATGTGCATGTGATCCT